TTTTTGTCATTTAACTATTGATTAACGTCATAATAACACCTTCGAAGCAGTTGTTTTACAAACGATTTAGACTTATTTTTGACAGTGCTTGCATTTCAATATTCACGATTTTATTAATATTTCGTATGAAGATTACTTTTTGGTTGGTACACTTATAATGTACTTATTTCGTGTTTTATACTGTTAAAAATTGCATATTAACTATACTAATAATAATACAAAGCATATAGTCAGTTTCCCTGACAACTTTAGCTTTGGTAGTACTGGTTCAGTTCTGACGATCCTTTCATCTCTTGAGATATGATTTAGGTTTTAAGGAAACCTATCAGTAGTGATCTTTGCTGGGTTATAGAGAGTTTAATTTGTTATAAGGAGTTTACATCTGATGCACCGACTAAATTGCTTTGGCCGGGTATTTCAGAATTGAATACTAAAGATGGTTATGTGATGTCCACCCGGGTTGGTCCCAATAATAAAACGTAGTTCACGAAATGAGAAATGTATGACATGTTTTCAATTTGTGCTGCTCATTTACTGATGTTTCCAGCTATCGCACAGTATTTTATTTCAATGTATACGCAGTAAAAACAAGTAACAGTAACCATATCTATATTATCTAAGAATGTGTTTGTTTTCGCTTGAAAATTATTAAAATATGTTGCTTATATACTCAAAGCTACTTTCCATTGGACAGAATATTTATCGGCATTTTATAAAAATGTATTGTTCGAAATTCGTTGTTTAATTTGATTAACTAAATTGAAGAAAGTATCGCTCTATATAATCCTCCTGAACTTATATATTTTTTGTACATTGAATGGGTGGTAGATATATTGGAATTTCGGTTTCAGTCTGTGGATTTTCGAATGTCCGAAACCAAAATAGGTCGACAGCGCAACAGTCGACAGTGTGGCTATTTCACCTTCCATCAAGTGAACCCTATTCGTTCTCTGCTTTAAAAAATATATAATGAATATCAATTTTCTGCGATATAAGCTTTAAGGTATATTTAAAAGAGCGGGTACATAATTATCAAAATACTTTGCATTGACTGAGATTGTATGTACTTTACTTAGCAACTAAAGTTTTGTAAAAAGCACATATTCTGTTTATGCCTCCAATAAACTGTCTGAAAATAATCTTGATTTTATTTCGTTATATTAATATATTTAACTGTAGTACTTTTGGAATGGCATCGCATGGCGTGGGGCGAACACAGCTGCGTCGTAACAATCTATTAAACAATAGATTTCCTGCCTTTATATATATGTCCTGCGTTTATATCCCGGGTAAACACCCGGATATAAACGCAGGACTTCTCGCGCTAAGCAACATGTTTAACCATTTAGTTACAAAAGAGCTAAAAGAAGAGAATGTAAAAATTTCATAATAATTTATTGCCACTAAAAATATTTACAATTATAGAGATTAGATGAGCATAAAACTTACAGACTCATTTACACCAAGGAAAGCTTACATCTGATAATGGGTTATAAATTACCAATGGTAGCAAAATAACAAATTGCACATTTACATGGCTACTTATATACGAGTCGTATATACAAATTGAGGCACCATGTTTATAAAGGCCGTCGCTGTGAGCTTTTATTTGTTCAGGTCTTCTTTCTATTAACGCCATGAAATTAGTATTTCATGGCTTAGTAGCCATCACGCAAGCTGTTTTTTATTGGTTATATCTTATCTTCGGCCGTGCCGTCAATACTAACCGAACGTTTTTGAAATGTCGCTGATGAATAGTAAGAGCTGTAGTGGTGAGAGCACGCAGCCCTGAGGGACTCCGGAGTAAATGGGACCGAACAAGCTTCTAGTAGATCGCGGTTATAATAGACCATATCTAGTCAGTAAAGACTAATAAGTATACTTTTAAACAAAAGACCAATCTCTTGAATAAAAGCTCGCAACGACTTACTTTACCACTTAACAATCACTTACTTCTAGCATGATATTAATAAAAAGCTACACGGTATATACAATTAACACAAATGAAACAACTTTTCATAGTACGCTATAATGGCATACAAATATAAACAAAGCAAATCACACGTAACTGTTTAAACTGCATAATTTATTTCGAGTTAGTCCTCTGGGACCAGGGTTGCTGTAAAGCGAACTTTAGGTTGCAGTTGAACTAATTTTAAACAAATTGCTCTTTTTAAGCCGTTAATTTGATGTTGACAATAATTTACAAAAAAAATACACAATAATATTGCGTAACAGAAATTATTGACGTGCAAACTATGCAAAATATAGCGTAGTCTGAAAAGAACCTAACTTAACACAGAACATTTCTTCAGTTCTTATCACAAACTTCAGGAACACATTCACAAAATACGACAGGCGTTTTTCAATACGTTTTTCTTTTTACCCCCAGGTCTATGTTTCACTGGACGAAGCAAGATTGTCCCGTTGCTGTTGTGGTTCGTAAATGTACCTGAAAGAGATAGTATAATTATTTTGGCTTTTCTTTAGGAGCTTATGGCTTCATTTGGTCATGGACGAGGAAATACTCCAGACACATATCATCTATATAAGATGTACTGTCAACCTATTTTAGCTTTGGATATTCGGAAATCTACAGACTGAAACCGCGAACTTGACGGCTTCATCTGTGGTTCCTGATCCGGAATTTGAAACCTACTACCATCTATATATTATCCAGATTTCCAGAAAATTGATTAGAAACATGTCGGACACGGTGGGAATCGAACCCACGATCCGTTAATTGCTGCAATTACACTCGTCACCCGTCAGCAGAACCCGAAGCTTATGAAATACCTATAACAGGTGCTATAGTAGGAGTCGTCATGTCTGCTGCATTTTCGCGTCTCATGTCAGCAAGGCAGCGAGCCGCTAGCGCTCGAAAAACTGCTCCAACATTGACGTCCTCCTTTACTGACGCCCTCATTAATCTACAGCCCAGAGCTCGTGCAACTAATTCTGCTTCATCTCTGAAAATTGGAAATGATTTAAATAAAATACTTTTAACGGTTTAAAAGGCGAAGTATACCGACTAGTTAACTTACTTTTTTTTTGTTTAACGTGTACATTATAGAATTAAGCTAAACTAACTTACGTAACCAAATAATTAGAAAAAATGTCGTTTAATTAAAATCCTTTGTTTGCCATAAACATGAGGTTGAGAAAAGTTTTGTTTCATATTTAGACTTTTTCAGTCTTCTTTTTTCATTTTCCGTAGAAACCATCCTTGTAATTCAAATAATATTCTTAAATCGGTCCAGCAGTTCTTAAAATTTGCGCCTAGCACGAGATTTAGCAATTGAATTGAAAATGTTTTAATACTTTTAAAACAATGTGTAAGAATCTAGATGTACCGTATATCGAACTCATAATCTAGCTTGTAAAATTAAGCGTATTTATTGTCCGAATTACTCAAAAAAACATTTATTCTTGCCCTCTTCTCTAAAAATTAATTATAATTAACACTGATTTAAGCACACAGCCAGACTTGCAGCCAGCATATTTAAGTTATAGGCGCACAAAGATAGAAAGGAAACATTTCTATAGGAGAAGAAATACTTACGGTCCCACAACACACTGGTCCATCAGGTCGATTTTATTTTGAACGATAATAGTCGGTATTTCACCGCATTCGTTTTCCACCTGAATAAAGATAACAAACTATAAATAATACATTTTTAACGGTTAAAAATGCGAAATATTACACGTATTATTTTTCTATCATCAAACGTTACTGATGCATTATAATATGAATTATGTAGTAAGGACTTTGGATTAAACACCAATTTTAACTTGCTAACAAGTATTAAAAATAAATTAGCCGCCCCCGTAGCTATATAGATAAGCACATTGCGGTAAGCGCGAGACGTCCTAGATTCGAATAACAGGGATAAATAGGAGTCTCGGTACACCAGACCTCTCTAATCTATTTACCTGATCAAAAAAATCGATCAGCGAAACATATTATTGCTTAAAATGTGCCTTATATATCTATAGGTTTTTGTTATTACAATCATAGTTAAAAATCTTTCTTGCTGACGTATCTTTAGATTTCTAATTTGGTTGATCGGTAATTTGTTTCAAAATAAAATAAATATCTACAGGTTAAGCCTGACCACTGCACGATGCATCATTAATTTAAGATTAAGATGATAGTTCGAAAGTAGTAAAATATTGAATGTTATCTCGTACATGATAAATTACGTTAATTAACAAAATAAGCTGACGTCGCGAACTTAGTTTCTCCTTGGAAGCAAAAAAAGCAGATTTTGACAAGTAGACCACATGCTTCTCTCTACACCTTTTTTGGTAAAGCTGTTCTGGAGATATATATTATTAACGCCGATATTAAATTTATAGACATGATAACTTTAATATTTCCTCACGATGGCATTATATGAATTAAAAATCGATTTTAGATTGAATAAAAAAAACGGGTGAGATTTGAATCGGCATCCACAGCGTTCCGTGCTGTTGCTCTAGCCGATTGAGCTACCGTGTCAGGTATTAGTTAGAGCAACAGCACGGACGCTGTCGATGCCGATTCAAGTCCCGCCGGTGTCTTGCTTTTTTTTCTGTCTAAAGCCGAGTTTTTATTTATACTTGACATATTCATCATTCAAACTTCAAGCACAACTACACTGAGAGTACCTTGGGTTTTGAGCTACTCGGTCATCGTAATTGAGAAATGTTAAGCGAAGATTTAATCTTGTGGCATTGAAGCTACACGAGTAGGCGCAGCGTTTTCCATTTTTTAATTACGCCATCTGAACAGCTTGAAAATTCTAGTAGCTTTGCAAAATGGCCGCGAAAGCCTTATACAATTTATAATTCATATCGATCAATTGAGAATTATAGCTCAATTTAGGCGTCAGTAGCTTATTAATTGATAAAAGAACTATATAAAAGAACTTTTAAAAATATTATTGTAAACAACATTTAATTATCTTAGATTATATTTGTTACGTTTATCAAAATTATATTTGAGATTTATTTTAGATTGAAAAAATCTGTGTCCCTTAAATTTATGTAAACTATTTACTATAACCTCCCCATCGGTGGCCCGAGTTAAATTAAATAAGTTAACTAATATTTTTCATACCGTTAAAAATGTTTTGTTTAACACAGTTTTCAGGTTTAGCTCAGTTAGTTGTGCGAAACCACGCTCCGGTAACGGTCATTGATTT